TGCGATTAATGTCACTTCCTGCCCTTTTTGTGCACACGCACGCACGCACACACACGCACACACACACACACACACACACACACACACACAGGCTGCTGGACAGAGGAGGAGAAAATTAGAGGAGAAGAAAGAGAAAAGAAAGGGAAGCCAGAAAAGACGCCGAGGCCAGGCAGCTGTCCAAGTAGGGGGAGCCAAACCCATCAGATAAGACGCACACAGAGGACTTTTGTTTGCTGCTCTTGCATTGTAATGGGGCTACAAGGAGCTACGTTAGTGTTTTCCCCCGTTGCTGATAATAAAACTACAACTACAGTGCTGCTGATTCAGATACTGCTCGGTGTGTTTATGTCCTTGTTTGTGACCCCCATAAATAAGCTTCTGCGACTCAACCTTCTCTTCCACAGCACACATTAGCAGGTAGTCTAGGCTGGAGGGTATGACCCCATCTCTCGTGTGAGAAGTGAGCTTGTGCAACAGCTATAAATCTTCAGTTCACCTGTAAGGAGCGCAGAATTCTTCGCAGCCCATCGTAGTCCTTGTCGGTGAGCGGCGTGAAGACCGTCATGGCGTCCTCTGTCGATTGACACTGAGGACACACGTATTCGTCGATGTGGTTGGCCTCGCTCTGCAGGATTCCCACGCAGCGACCGTGGTACCAGTTCTGACATCGATCGCAGCCGATGTAAAACCTGAGTAGATGAAAAGTACTCACAGATTGGTGTCATTTACATATAAAGCACTTAAGATGGATTCCTATTTGAAACATGCACATATTGATAATTAAAAGAAGAAGAATTGTTTGCTTAATACAAAAACACCTTCACAAATGAGGTTTCTGGGAAAATTAACCTTCAGCAACATCGCCTAAAAAAGGTATTTACCTTAAAAAAAAAAAGAAAAAAAATCAATGGTATGCTGCAGAAACTAATCACCATATGCAATTTTAGGAAATGAGCTGAAACTCTTTAGATGATATCGCTTTCAAGATTTCCAAATTGATGTGGGTTTCATTTCATTTCAGAGAAAAGGCTTCTGGAGTTATATTATGTAGACAGAAAATGAGGGGAGCTGTCAGAAAAGTTTAGAAAAAGTTTGGTTAAAATGTGCACAAGTATAAGTTCAGAAGTAACACAAACAAGGCTCAAATCCAGACCAGACGGCAACCTGCGGGGTTGAAAAATGAAGCCAGCACAGGAGTGTCAAAAACTCCCACAGAAACTGGCCACAAAAGTGAGGCAATCCCCATAGAGTCCCTTATCAAAATGCCCAAACCACCGGGCAACAAGTGAAACTGCTAATTAGTTGGTGTCTTTCTGAAAGACACTGAAAATTCTCTCTGATTCTGGGTATTAAAAAACAAAGCCCATCTTC